GTTCAAGGTCATTCAAATCGGACTATTTTGATTGCTTTGAAATTTGGCAAAAACATCTACAACACATCGCTTCACCTAGCCTCCAAATATTACATTGTGACATTCAAACGTTTGTCCTCCAGAAGCATTCAAATCCCTGGCACGTGTTAACATATATACATTTCCTGTCAGTAAAATGGTAGAGAGACTCCTTCCATCACCTTCAAATTTGACACAAATGTGTACCATGTACATATACAGTTTGTCACCAGGTCGCAAATAGTGACACTTACATTCACGCATCCCGAAAGTTCTCAAACAATGGAACATATGACTTATCTCTAAAACGAGACATCAAGCGTCGTAATACGCCACCATGACCAAGGAATGCTGATCAATGCATCTCCTATGATGCAATTACCCGTTGTTTCTCATATGATGTGCCATATAGCGGTACGGCATGCAAAATGTGACGTACAAATCAAAAATGTCACATTCGATGTCGGTTGTCATACATTCACGGGCTCTTCTGATTGCTTTTAAATTCGCAGCAAGCTATCACCTTACATGGTTCCACCTAGCCACCAAATATTATAGCATGACATTCAAACGCTTGTCTTCCAGAGGCATTCAAACCTGGAAAATGACAGCCTTGCACGTGTTAACAGATATAGGTTGCGTGGCAGCTAAATGGGCGAGAGACTCCGATCACCTTGAAATTTGAGACAAATGTGTACAATGTACATATACAGTTTTTCATTAAGTGTCAATTTGTGACACTTACATTCACGCATCCCGAAAGTTCTCAAACAATGGGATATATGACATACCTCTAAAACGAGACAACCAGCGTCATAATACGCCACCATGACCAAGGAATGCTGATCAATGCATCTCCTATGATGTAAGTAGACGTTGCCTCTCACATGATGTGTCATATGACGGTACGACATCCAAAATGTGACGCACAAATCAAAAATGTCACATTCGATGCCGGTTTTCACACATTCACGGGCTCCTCTGATTGCTTTGAAATTCACCACAAATAATCACCTTACATGGTTGCACCTAGTCACCAAATATTATAGTATGACATTCCAATGTTTGCCTTCCAGAGGCTTTCAAACCTTGAAAGTGACAGCCTTTCACGTGTTAGCATATACTCATTGCATGTCAACTAATTGCATGAAAAACTCCTTCGATCACTTTGAATTTGGGAGAAAATGTGTGCCATGTACGTTTACAGTTTTTCACTAAGAGGCCATTTGTGACATTTGAATTTACGCATTCCAGGAGGCTCTTAAACAATAGGATATATGACATATCTCTAAAACGAGCCACCAGGGTCGTAATATGCCACCAAGACCAAAGAATGCTGATCCATGCATCTCCTATGACGTAAGTAGCGGTCGCTTGCCATATGAAGCACCATATGACGACATGGCATGCAAAATGTGACGTACAAATCAAAAAGGTCACATTCGATGTCGGTCTCTGACACTAGATGCTCATTTCTATGGAAAGTTCGATTCGTTTGGTATTTGCAGAACCAGTGGGATATTTGGCATTTCAGCCACATGCATGAAATCAAACCCATGCTCTAACCATGGGCGACGTGATGTCAGGAAGACGAACAGAGCGTAGCGGTCCTGGTGCGTTTGAAATTGGGTCACACTCGTCTCACGGCTTATACACAGCCAGCTGTTCAGTATCGCTGCACCACCAGCCTGCACCATTTGTTATCGCCGGATTACGGCATTTGTTACACTTATTGGGCGGATTTTCTGTTCTTGTTCGAAAAACGTACCTTTGTCAGGAGTCACTTCCTGGCACACCACCTCCCGCGCACCCTCAGAACGCTGTTAGACAACACCTAGCCACCAAATATGGTGCTATATATGAACCATGCAAGGTGATTATTTGCTGCAAATTTCAAAGCAATCAGAAGAGCCCGGGAATGTGTGAAAACCGACATCGAATGTGACATCTTCTATTTGTGTCACATTTTGCATGCCGTGCCGTCATGTGGCACATCATATGAGAGACAACGGATTGTTAAATCATAGGAGATGCATTGATCAACATTCATTGGTCTTGGTGGCATATTACGACCCTGGATGTCTCGTTTTAGAGATATGTGATATCTCCTATTATTTGAGAGCCTCTGGAATCCGTAACTTCAAATGTCACAAATGGCCACTTGATGAAAAAACTGTACACGTACATGTTACACATTTTAGCCAATTTCAAGGTGATCGAAGGAGCCTCTTGTCCATTTAGCTGGCATGAAATGTGTATATGATAACACGTGCGAAGCTGTCATTTTTAAGGTTTGAATGCCTCTGGAAGGCGAACATTTGAATGTCGTACTGTAAGATTTGGTGGCTAAGTGCAACCATGTACGATGATTATCTGATGAAAATTTCAAAGCAATCAGAACAGTCCACGAATGTGTGAAAACTGACATCGAATGTGACATTTTCCATTTCTACGTCACATTTTGGATGTCGTACCGTCATATGACGCATTATATGAGATGCAACGGCTGATTTGGTCATAGGAGATGCATTGATCAGCATTCCATGGTCTTGGTGGCATAGTACGACGCTGGATGTCTCGTTTTAGAGATGTGCTATATATCCTATCTTTTTTAGAACTTTTGGGATGCGTGAATGGAAGTGTCACATATTTCCACTTGTGGAAAACCGTATATGTACATTGAACACATTTTTTTAAATTTCAAGGTGATCAAAGGAGTTTGTCGTCCATTTAGCTGCCACACAATCTGTATACATGGGCGTAGGAACAGGGGCGGGGGGGGGGAGGCAGGGGGCTATGGCCCCCACTTTTCAAGGTGGAGGGGGGGGGGGCCAGCAGTGTTAGCTGCCCCCCCCCCCACTTTTCAGATTAAGGTCGTGTTTAGCTTACTTTTGCACCACATTTAAATATGCATGTTGATCTTTTTCCTATCTTTTTCCGTTGCTTATTGGCCATCGCTTAGTGTCACAACCGCAGGTCGACGCCACGCCGCCTATGGAGACTGCAACGCCGGGCGTTCGGCCCGCTGTTATTATGGCTTGCGAGCGCGTATGTTCAAAACCATATTACATAGTTTTTTATCAGTAATCAGTTCTGATCGAATCTTGGACATTTTAAGACGAACGTAGATTAGTCATGTCAATACAAGCTTAGGACCCCATTTCATCCTACAATGGTAGGGCGTTCAGGCGGGCACCTTTCCCTCTCTTTGCTCTTGTACTTCGTAAAACAGCTCGGTTGTGACAAGCAATCGTCGGATCTCACGGTCGTCTGTAAAAGGCTTTTCGATGCAACCGTCTACATAAGAAAAAAAACATTTAGGCTTTTCGATTCAGGAAAAACTCTGCCGGCGCTGAAATGGATTACGTCGGAGTACTTTCCCACCGACTTTGGTGAATCACACCACCAGAGGCTGGACCAGTGGAGCCGGTCGTCTGATGTCAGCGGCTGTGGTGGGAAAGCTATCGTATCCACCCTGGTCACGCTGGCCGAGGTGGGGATCTCTGTCCGAAGAGTGTCCTTGAATAAGCGGAGATTTTGGACGCGCTGGCTCCTCTCCCACCTTGGAGCCCAGCCTGATAACAGTCCAGCTCCATAACAGGGGCCGCCAGTGCAACCAGCACGCTATACGCGAACCAGTGTGCTAAAAGAGTAGATGTAGCAGCCACCGGGTACGAATCTGGAGGCGCCGATGCCTTGGCTCGCAGGGGTTAACCAGGCAGGACAAGGCACGATCCTGAGATGGTGTTCGGAGGCAGATGCTGTATCTGGCAGTTTCCAATTCATCACCCGTCACATCGCCCGCTTGGGCCCAGGACAGTGACGCAGAAATGCGTCGCCTGACTGGCCAGCTTTATCGTGCAGTACTCTCACGAGGCACCGAAAGGTCACATATTTGGGTAAAGCCACAAAAAATTGGGAATCAAGTGCATTGCTTTACGCCATTCAGTAATGAACAGTTTTTGCGGTGGATATTTTTTAGATAGATTTAGGTCATGTGCTTATTGAGAACGCAAACATATTTGTGCTTGCTGTACCAACCATAGGGATGCCGACACGCTATACAAAAACTACTGCTTTACTTTTGCTAACATAGGTTAACAGGGGATTAAGCATTCAAAATATACTTCAGGTCGCATTATCACCAGTCGTTGCGGGAGGGAAGGGAAGGGACACCCATCGTGTTGTGGTTAAGGTGCACGTCTCGGAAGCCTGAGCTGCAAGGTTTGATTTCTCACCCTTTGGTGACCGCTCGGTCGCCAAAACCCGCTTTTCCTGTCACACTGAGAACAACGATTCAATGAGCATGGCACTTCATTATCTCAAAGAACTATGCGGATATGCGGGGAGCAGTCAGAATTTCCTTAAAGATGAACCTAAGCTCGATAAGCAATCAACCCGCCGATGTTAAACTTTCTGTCTTGACCCAGCTCTGATGAAAAAATTTAAAAAATCCAGGTTTAAGGGAGGGGCGACCCTCCTCCTACCCCTTTAGAATAAGCTGAGAGCTGGGCGACACGTCAGCAAACTTCTCTAATGCTCCCATGGTCTTCTGCACGATATCGGTTGGAAGAGTTCAACGTGCTGCTGCACGACAACTGCGCAACGGCTATCAAATATCTCCCCAAACCTACCAGAAATCATGACAGATAATGTCGTACGTAATTCATGTATAGCCTAACTTAGTACTCAAGTGACACGCCAGTCAGCGTGTTTCATTAGGGCTATTGCTCACTTCAGAAATCGATTTATCTGTCTCAGCAAATTGATATGTTGGAAGACAGCTTTGGATATTTTAGCATGCATGCCCTTAGTAATAACCTTGATCTCAAATGCCCATAATTGATCGCCATTGATGTAGAAAAAGCCATGGTCTTTCATTAACAAGATAGGAGTAAAGAGGTTCTCGACGAAGTCCTCACGAGATTTCGCGCACGCGCTCGATGATAAGAAAACTATAAAACCAGACTGCGCTAGATTGCTCGAGTTCACAAATTTCTGGTTTGGAATTGGTATGCGTTCCGAATAAATTTAAGTGTTGCCTATCCTCAAGGGTAAATTTTTTTAGTAAACCTATTTTTTTGCTTTCTGTTAACTCCAACATTTTTAAAACATGGCTCAGATAAATGGCGACTGCAAACCTGGTGGTCAGACTGGTCAGCTGCCTTGCTGCATCCCTGAGTAAGTCTTGTGGCTCTTTTGAAGACAAATGTCATCAACACCAGTTTAATTTGAGCTAGACCTCACAAATCACCTGTGTGGTTTGCTACGTGAATTTAGTCGGTGCAAAATACTATTACTTATATTGTGTCCTATTTAATGAGCGGTCGCCAAATATAGCTTTTCATATAAATCGTGCTATACTTCAACCGCCAAACAGATTGCTGTGCCCAGCACGTGGGATGCGATGGCAGCCGAAAGCCATTTAGTCCATGGGCGGCAGACGCATGATGAGGCGGCAGAACGGGCAGCCACCCTCCATGCCTGGAAAAATTGGCCCTCAGCTTACAGTATTACATGCAAATAAGTGAAAGAAAAACAACTTCCCCATCTCCTAGAGGGATCAGCTCAACTGATTCCGTCTGTATACCATGACGAATCCAGGAGAGCTGTTTTTGTGCTTTGGTCAATTGTGGAATCAGCGACACAAGAATGTTCATGATTTGTCTGTGTGCTGTGTGACAATTTGCGCCACCCTTACGTCAGTTGGCTGGATTTTCAGGCTCGCATGGATTTCGCAAGTAGATCCGATTTTGTTCAAGCATTTTATCATGCATACCCCTATGTTAAGAACTTTCGATCCCTGTGTGGGAGCTGTTCAGCGACAAACCGCTTGTTTGAATAACGTGAACTAAATTTTTTTCTGTTTGCTCAGGCATCTGACAGATTTTAAGAGCCATTTTGGATTCGTCCTGGAACCGTGCCGTATTGACACGTTGTGACCAGGCGAAGATTAAGAATGTTATTGAGTGGAAAGGGCTGATTTCGCACCGATAACGCACAAGCCCTTTGTGGTGTTAAGCTTCGTCCTCTCTGGTGATAAAATGATTTAAAACATTGATTTTCAGGGACGGATTCAGGCCGCAAGCAAGACACCTTTGCGTCCAAGGCAATGGAAACTTCACTCAGCACCAAACCTCCGAAGGGTGCAGATCAAAGGTATTTAAGTGCCTCTTCCGTTCTTTATGCGTCAACAAGTACCCGTGATAGTAGTGCACCGTAATCGATTATGCTGAGGAGGAGGACAAACATGTCTTTCAAAAACTAACTGAGATGGAATGTTAATGCTCCCGAGTTAGGCTAAGGGTCTAGGCGAGTTAATTACTATCAAAGCAAGAGCTCTTCACGCAGCAGGTCTCACTTTCGGTAAGCTGGGTTGGTTTCGATGATCCTCTGAAAACTGTGCAATGTAGTTTGCAATACATCCATACAACGTTGAAACATCGCTTGTTGTCGCAAACAGCGCAAAATAAACACACTTTCTGTGCAATATGAGTGCAGCAACAGATAGTGTTTGTCAATGCTTGCACTCACTATCTTTAGAAAGCGATTGACTGGGCGTCTCATAAAAATGTATTTTTATGTGACGGCATTTAAATAACTTCTAGATGTTGCTTATCCCTAAAGAACACATATTTTGAGATCCTTGCGATATTGGTGTTTTCTGTAGACCCAACAACTCTGACATGATGCCGGAAAGAAATGGTGACAGCACACGTGTTAGCCAGGTAAGCCAACTGTTTCGCTGGATCCTATGGCAGGGGGGGGGGGGGGCAGGGTAAGCCGAGAATAGGTGAGGACGGGGAGAGCGCTGATCGATGCTATGTGCGTGAAGACTTCCAGATCGACCAGGGGGCCACGGCACGCGAGGGAGGAGGTGGGGGGGTGGGGGGGGGGGGGGGGGGGGGAGCCTCAGTCCCGTGTCGTCGGAATGGCGGGCGGTAGGCATCTCTGCTTGTAGGTAAGGGCCCTTCATCCCCTGACTGGGAAAGGTAATGCACCCCAGTGTTTAACCCACGGAACCCTTTGTCCACGAACGGTAAGGGGTAAGGTAAGGTGCTCGTCGTTGGCCAAAAGGTTCGATGGACATGGAGTCAAACACCTGTTTTGAAGTGGTCAACAGAAGTTTGTCTGAGGATGTCATCCCTTTTCTGAATAGACTTGTGTTTTGTTCATTGTTGTTGTTCTGAGGATGCCCCTACCTACCTGCCTGACCTTTGCTGCTCCTCAGATGGTCCCACCCTACACTCACCCACCTGTCTGATCTATGCTCCTCCTCAGAGATTAGGCCGCCCTACACTCGCACACCTGTCTGACCTTTGCCCCTCCAGAGATGACGCCTTTCCTACGCTCACTTAGCTGTCTGACCTTTGCCCCTCTAGAAATTGCGCCCACCCTATATTTACCCACCTGTCTGATTTGTGCTCCTCAGGGGGCATCCGCCCCACACTCACGAATTTCACTGCCTCTGCTTCTCCCTCAGATGCCCCCCGGTCCACCGGGCTGCGCCGCTGAGCGTCTACTACAGCCCAACAACCACTATGTATGCGACCAGAAGCAGGTGCTGCGGCAGCAGCACCTCGTAAAGAAGTACGCCGGCGGCGCTTCATGCAACCCCTGTCGGCCCGGTTATAACCCGGACTGTGCTGTGCCCCTGTGGAGTCACAACAAACAAGGTTTCCGCGGTGCCGTACCCTACACGGGGCCGTATGACAAAGAGGCGCCCTACCACTACGCTGAGTCGCCCTACTACATGGACAACGATGACCCCCGCAAGTTCTTCATGTCAGGATATACAGGCTTTGTGCCAAACACGCAGTCGGTGATCGGCAACGTCTTCCCGCTCACCACCAACAAAGGCCTGCGCAAGTTTACTGACCTGCAGTGCAATGTCAAACAGAACTTCTGCAAGCCGGTCATCGTCAGCACGAAAGACCGCAATTTCGTGCCTCCCGTGGAGCAGTTACAGCAATGCAGCAAAGACCCGCTGAGAACCATCCAAATACCGGACGTGGGCATAGAATATGATCCGACCATATTGCTCGACTGCACCTCCAGTTCCGGCGCTGGCTTCGGTTTGAGCTCCGGTTCCGGCTCTGGGAACGTCTCCAGCTCCTGTTGCGGTTCCAAAGGAGACTTTGCAGATAGCGGCGGCCAGGCTGCGTTAGGCCACAACCAGGAAGGTGCTAGACGCAAGATGAAAATGTTCAGACGCAAGGACCCCCACCCCATCTACCGTGTAGAGGAAGGCTTATTGCCGACTTACGGAGGTCACGTTCCAAACCAGCAGTTCCGCTTCGGAGGTACCTTCGGTCGCGAAACACTCAATGCACGGAATCTGAGCAAACGCCGAGGCTGAAACCGATTTGTAAATCTTATGCATTCGTTCCTCATGTCAACATTTACGTGCGGACACATGCCACATTTGGCATAGCTTTTTTCAGCAAGGTTCAGCAAACTCGCGCAATGCAGAACTGGGAGCAACTGCTAAACCGAACACACGTCTGTTTACACAATATACATGTTTTGACCAATTTCATGTTTACCGGAAAAGCGTAAGAACCTTGTTCATGAGGAAAATATCAAGTAATGTTCAAATGCACTGTTACGGGGCCTGAAGTGGATACCCATCGCACAGTCTATTTTTCAGGTACCGACAGGGGTGAGGCAACGAAAACGAAAACGTTTGGGTTTAACGAACCGTTTGGGAATCAAATTACCCGTTTAATATGGCTTCACCGTGGGCTTATAATGCTAAAGGGCGCTTAAACACGCGCCTGTGTGGCCGGTTGGATAGCCAGGGAGTCAAACTGACCCCCACCTTTGCTCGGGGGGGGGGGGGGGGAGGATCCATTTGACTTCCTGAGATCTCAAAAATTAAGAGAGCTAGAGACACCAAATTTACAAGGTGTATTGATCTGGACGTGAAATCACTGATATTAAAATTTGAGGTTTCTAGGTCATAGCCTTCGGGTCAAATAAGGCAAAACAAGGCCAAATTCCAGGTTGGTCTCCAAATAGCCCCTGGAACCTAGATAACTTCTAAACAAAAAGCTACATCCTCATTCAAGGCCAGTGACCTTGTTTGACCTTTCGGAGGTTGAAAAATCATACAAGACCGCTTTAGTTTTGTATTTGGATAAGGGACCAAGGCTACGCTAGGCAGTCTGTTCCTAAAAACAAAACGCTGACCTGGATCATTTCAGATCAGTGGCTTATTCTGACCTTTAGGAAGTCCATCGAAGGTGTCTAATGCGGTTCCTGTTATCAATGAATTTGAAATGAGCACCAGGAACTACCCCATACGGTAAGCCCTAGAATAATACAACAGGCTGGTTTTGACCTTGGTCTGACCTGAAAACGGAATTCGGTCGTACAAACTGTGTTTACCGATCTTCAAATATTACATCCCACACTGGGAAAACATTTATGGAACCAAAAACTAATTGTGTGAGGCCAGTCAAATTGCTTGTAAGTACAGTGTTTTAGGGATTGTCAATATGAAATTCTTAATAAGCATCAAATGTTCATTTAACACACACGAATTGGCATCAGAATACAATGGTTGGTCAAACCGCTCCCTCCGAGTGTTTTTACGGAGTAGTGTAATATACGTTACACATTTTAAGGAGGACCGAACAGCCTTAACGCCCAAAAAACGCCCACCATGCATGTGGTCGCGTTCAAAGCCCTCTCTGCACGGTGTTTTTTTTTTTTAGAGAAAGGCGCTTTGTACCTTGAAGAGAGCATCAATGACTCTTTTGGTGCAGTGGATTGATCTTTCTTTGACCTTGTAACAGTATCCTCGAAGTCAGTCGCACAGCCAGAGTATTGGTAACGGGGGGGGGGGGGGGAGATGCATGGTTGGAAAAAGGCCCCCTGATAGTGAAAAGACTCCGTAAACATTCGTCACATATGCCCCATTTAGTAATGAGAGCGTGGCTTTCGCTGATTTTTTCCGTTGTTTTCTTCTATAGCTGGAATAGAAGACAGAAGCCACCACGAGATAAATTCTGACTGAATGTTATAGCCAAAAAGCTGAAAAACATGCATTAAACGCTTTCCATTTTACGATGAACCAGTGGATTCTTTCTAAGCCTATAGAACTCTGAAGCTTGGTCATATTTTTCAGGTTCTACAGAGATATTGGGGACGTGTCAATTGTTCGTGTCAATTGTGGACCAAAAGGGATCGACGATCTGCGTTGACTTTACTGGGTCATGTTTGTCTGGAAATATTCAACATTCAGTCAAAATCGATTAGGCATACACATTATGTACGTATCTTTGAACATGCGCGCCCGCAAATGATGCAGCAAAAACCTCGACGCTAAGCGCTGCAGCCTTCGTAGGCCTCACAGCGTCGGCACCGTGGCTAACACGAAGCCGCGTGAACGAAAATAATAACGCATGCGAAAGACGTGCCTTTGAACGCTTATGGTAATTAAATCGCAGATTTAGAAGGCAGCTCAGACGTATACTTCACCGCCGCGATTTTTGTACTGACGTCAATAATGGATTGACAATTACAGCACCGCGAAGTGGTGCTGGCTGGAATTTGGTGGTAGAACTGGAAGGGTAAACGTCAATCTCTACAGGTTTGTTGCTGTAACTGTTTATCTGTCAAAAGGGCAGCCTAAAAGTTTTAAGTTGCATCTTTGAACAGCGCGAATATATTTTGCTAGACATTTGGAAGCATTATTTCACAACGGTCGTCTTCACACGGGACGCGTGGTGTTATTTGCAGTGGCCAACGGCGCTCGTTTTTACCAAAAAAAACAACAAAAAAAACTGCAACCCAGACCACCGTTGTCCTCACTCCCGAGATTTCGGGGGTGCAGGCTCAAATATTTGTTATGTAATTTGTTTCACTAATCAGTTGTGCAAAGGAATGAACAGTCTCGGTCAAGCACGGAATGATCTTGTTCGTCTCTAAACCCATTTTGACCCACTCTTTTCAACACTAATGAGATCCCTGATTTCTTTCCGAACCAGGGTCATCTTGAGCAGAACACTATGGGGCACATTTTAGTTCCCCGGTCAGGAGCTGAACGGCCGTTTTGTTCCACCGCGCAGTATCTTCCGGCGGTCATTCTCGCGACACGGAGCGGGATCCGTTGATCGATCCGGAGGTCCTCAGAGAGATAAATCACATGGAATTGGTTCCTTCCTCAAGCGGAAGACTTTCTGCCCCTTCAGCTGGCCCCAGAGAAACGCAGGAACCCGCCTCTTAAATCTCACTTCCGCCTCGTCCGCTTCCGCCTCGAGCCCGCCTCGTCACTTCCGTGTTCGACATGTGTAATTATTTTTTATACCAATCCGGCGTGTACAGCAATGGGTGCAGGGAACGCAAGTAAAAACTTTTATACTTTGGTAGCTTTGCAGCACATTTTGTCTGCATTTTCGTATCTGCCGAAATCAACACGTTACCGAGAAAATACGCCATTGGTACCGCCTCTTTCATCAAAGAGGATAAAATAGTTGGTCATTTTTGAGCTTCTTGCGTAACTGTCACATACTACCAGATCTCCCGTTCTTGCTCATGTGGAAAAATACGAAAGCTATGTGTAATTGTGCAACGCTTAGCTGCATGAAGTCACCTTTGCACGTTTAAACGGTTAGAGTTATGAAATTCTAGAGATATTGACAATGTTACGCCACTTTTCCCCTTTTGCTGTCTTCAACACACTGAAAGAGGTGCCACAATTACTATGCTAGATGGCGCAGCGGCATAGCTGAAGTGTGTTTGGACAGCACTACTTCACCGCCATCCATGCAGCCAACTTCAAACTATGGAACTTCCCGTCAGATTTTCCTCAAACCAGCACCAATCGAAAGCTAGCATGCGGTTTCAATAGCCGTTCTGGAATTGGTGACCACAGGTCACCATCTTCACCTTCAAAAACCGCACAGACCACTTTAGGGCATCGCAGCCAAGTCCAAACTCGGAAACCACTTAACCGATCTGCTTCAAACTTTTACCAGAAAATAGAGAGAATGCAATTTCATCAGTCTCCCTAAGACCGGTGACCTCAGGTCACCATCTTTACTTTCAAAAACCCTAATGAATCACTTCAGGGCATTGCAGCCAATTCCCAACTCGGAGACCGTTCAATTGATCTGACTGGAACTTTCACCAGAAAACAGAGCACATGCGATTTCATCAGCGGTACTGCAATTGGTTATTTCGGATATTCATCTTCCCTTCCTCTTGAATCAGTGTCAAGATGTGCCGTGTTTACATAAGTCGCGTATGCACCACATACGTTGACAACATACACGCGCGTGCAGATAAACACCAACACATATACACACAGTCAAACCCTAACTCCCAGCGTTTCCAGGATGTGATCCTTATGCACGCCTCTTAGTACTGGAGGCACATCTGCGTCAACTCGTATAAAATCACGTTTGCCCCGGGATCTGCGATCTGCCATCGCAGATCGGGAAACTGGAATCGGGATCGGGAAACTGCGACGCAACACATGCCTTCGTAATGCGACAAAACATCCTAGTTATCTTTTTAACAGCTGCTTCTTCAACCACCACATCTCCAACAACTTTTGGAAACTCCCATCTCTCCTCATGAGACAGGACGATGTCGTGAAGCTCGCGTAACGCTCTCCAATCAATTGTCCATTGCAATATTTGCATTTCCTTGTTTTGGGAGACCTTGCAACTTTGAAGAATGGTCTTTTATTATGATCAAATGAGATTTTAGATTTGAGGGGTCGCTGATGTGGCTTTCTCCCTACCGAAGGTGGGATTGTCAGTGACTCACTAATTTTGGTGCATGACGGCATTGGTGCCTGGTTGAAGAACTGATCGCGTCTGATTTTGCGTTGCTATAAGCTGATTTCGTCACCGGCCGCCGTAAGCAGATGTTCATAGGATCTATGGACTGTGCACGATCCTCGGCGGTCATAAGCTCTGCCCACTTCGGCATCCCGGTACATATCCAAATCGCGTGACGTCTCAACGATGTTACAGATGCGAGACGCTGCCGACCGGATGCCGTGGAAATGGCATTATTCACACGCTCAGTGCGGTTGGTAGACAACTTCTTATCCACAATCCCTCTATTAAGGCTATCAAGTTTGTACTTCTTGAACTAGCTCAAAAAGCTTATTCCATTTTGACCCATGACATTTATCCGCTTGGCCATGCATGTCTCGGGGTGTTGAGGGAGTACATCGGCATCGGCCACATGAGTCAAACCAGCATTTTGGTCAAAACGATCCGTTAAAGCGATATTCTGCTCAGATACCCCGATGCTAATCACTATCACTATCACTATCACTAAGCTTACGCTCAATATTACGCCTGGAATGAATGTGACAGAGGTATGGTTCAGCGTGGGGAAAACATGCTTTAAATGCATTGTGGAGAGCCTCGCCACCGGCGTTACCTTATGAAGCCAATGACTTTTTTATGATTTACCAACTGGCGCAGTTTGCAAGCAAAGGCCAAATACGTGCCCACTGAGGTTTTCGTAAGTTGACACAGTGAAGTAAAAGTCACCAAAGTGACACGCC